ATTATTATTATTATTATTATTATTATTATTATTATTATTATTATTATTATTATTATTATTATTATTATTATTATTATTATTATTATTATTATTTTGATTTATTCATTTTGAGGACAAATTATTCAATGCTTATTTATTAGTCGGACTGAATATTGGAATAGCATGGGCAATGTGTTGGGCAGCGAGCTGAAGTTTGGGGACACAGGTTGCAATGGGGCTAAATGCAGGCTGTGCTATCATGTACACTTGGTATTACTGATGATTCAGCCTTTAACCTATCCATAGCTAGGACTGCTGTGTTTCATATGGATATTGTGTATATACGTGGCTCCTTAAGAAAATTGGTCAATGCACGAGTTGTATACTCTGTTCTTTTTCTCGTTACAGTGACAATGCCAGCTAAGATTACCGCTAATTACAACTGCACACGTATTGAAGCACTCACCAAACAGACATACCCTGCATCTCACCACCTTATACATTCGTTTTCATCAACCAACGTTGGGTAGTTTTCCATCAAACACTCATACCACACAAGTCATTCATCAAGATACAACATAGAGTAAACATAATTTATTAAACAAAAGAAAACAAATCTTTCCCCTCCTTCAATCTCTGGTTCATTAAACCCCCAATCACTCAAAACCATACACATCATCATCATCATCAAAAAAAAAAGTCATCAATAATCATAAGCACTCGCTTCTTTTCTATAAATCTGACCAAAAAAAGGAAAACAAACAAGCCAAAAATTAACTTTGCCCATCATTTCTTGTACCCGAGATATAAATTAAAAGAGAAAAAAACAAATTCATCAATCATAACGTCAAAAACAAAAAGAGAAGAGAGACATAATGACATAGACACAAAAACAAAAACAAGAAATATATCGTCATCAAAGTCATCATCGTCATCAAATCATCCCATCATCTCCGCCTCTTATGTCTCCTCTCCCTATCATCATCATCATCATCCTCAATCTGCCTTCGCCTCCCCTCTCCCTCACCACCACCACCACCACCACCACCAGGAGGCTGCAATACTCCCGCCAACGGTCCCGCCAATTGTCCCAACATGTCACCACCAAGCACCTCCCCAATCACACTCACCCAGCTTTTCCGCCCCTCCAGAGCCCCCGTCACGTTTCTCACCAGTTTTTCAATTTGCTCAGGGTCCGTCCCGCCAAGCGCCCATCCGCCGTGAACTTCCATGCCGCCAGGCCGTTGCGCTGGACGGTGAAACTCGCCGCTTCGAGTAACGATGCGGTTCTTACCGTGACGTCCGCCATCCAGTGGTTTACCATGCGAGTCGAAACGATCAGGTAGATTTTCGACATCGTCGTCCGAATCAGAGTGACGATGTCTCCGATGTCTACCCTCGCCATCGCGGTTAGGAGAGCGGTCGTGAGTCGTGTCAGATGATAATCGACGGTGGCGGCTCGACCGCTTAAATTGGTTCTCACGCCGCTTGTCTTCCTCAGACTCGGAACTGTCTGATTCAGACTTGACGTCATGCTCCTTTTTATGCCTCTGCATTGTCTTGGAACTCGTCGGAGAAAGCGGTCCAAACGATACAGACTTTCTCCTGGTACGAATAGGAAACACAATCTCTGGAATCTCAATGCGAGGCGGTGGCAGTGCCTTGAGCGGTTTTACAGCCTCTAGTGCAACACGTTAGCTTCAATGAACGACTTTCCCCCTTAACAAAATCTGAATCAAAAGGAATTCAAAGGTAGTCCCGCACAAAAGTACGATTCAAACGCACCCTCATGTTGTCCACCTTTCTGATTAGGCAGACTGTTGCTTCTGGAGAGGTCACTCACTTGATCATTCGGGAAGATACCGCCCGCCGGTGGTCCTGCAGGGGGAGGTCCAGGCGGAGGTGCCGGACCCGAAGTAGGCGGACCAGCCGGCGGTGGAGGTACGTAACCGGGTATTCCCGAGGAGTTGACGCGAGGCGGCGGTCCGGAGGGTGGCGGGGGACCGGCCGGTGGGGGCGGAGGAGCATACCCGTGATAGTCTTGTGGCACGTAAGGATGGTACTCCCGAGGTGGAGGTACGTTAGGATCAGTATATGGCGTGTAGCTGTGCTCTCGCGGTGGAACACCGACTGGCGGCGGGACCGCTGGAGGTGGAGGCGGAGCTGGGGGAGGAATACTGGTAGGAGGGGGGGCGGTTCCGGGAGTGCTCGATCCCGGAGTCATGGGATAGGGGGGATAGTAGGCACCGCCAGAGGCAGTTGGGGGGGAATGCGGCCTGCCTTCGTCAAAGAAGCCGCCATTTGGAGGGACATCGGGATAGCCTGCACAAAGCTCAAAAGTAAGTTATCGTTTACAGACAGCCAGCTTGCTTGGCTATGAGGGGTTGGGGGGATTCTCACGTTGTCCTTGTTCATCGCGCTCCCTTGAGCGCCTCTCCTTCGAGCGCCTCTCTCTCTTCTCATCTCTCCTCTCCTCCTTCCGCTCCGCTCGCCTCTCTTCCCGTCTCTCCTCTTCCTTTGCCTTCTTCTCTCTGTCCTTGTGGTCCTTGTACGCTTTAATGCCAGCGGCCGCTGCACCCGCGCCCACTGCGTCTCGTAGCTCACTCCTGCTCCTGCTGCGTTTCCTCTCTTCATCGGATCCAGAAGAGGAGGGATCTCTTTCACGTCTTCTCTGTCGGTTTCGTCGCCTCTCCTCGGCCTCGGATTCATATCCTTGGCCCGTGGGAGAGCGCGGATCGGGTGGTAGGGGATCGTGCCCGTACTCAATCAAGCCTAGCCCAGGATCAGCCGCGGTTTCGGAATAAAGGGATCTGGCCCTCGACCTGCTCCTGCTCCTGCTCCTGCTTCGGCTGGGAGAGTCGCGCCTATCATAATCGCGATCGTGATGATCGTCATCGCTGAATCCACGAGAGGTCGAAGCCTCTCTCTCTCTCTCCTTCTTCTTGTCGTGATGGTCTTTCCACACCTTGCCGGCTATGCCAGCAGCAGCGGCGGCACCGGCCAGCTCAGCGCCACGTCGCAGCGTCGACTTGCTACGAGATCTGCTTCCATGTCGTGACTTGGATCGCGACTTTGACTTGTCGCGGAAATGCTTGACCAGGCCAGCGGCGGCGGCGGTTCCAACAGCGGCCTTGGCCAAGGTTGAAAGGCTGCGCTTACGGCTGGGTCGGCGCGAACGAGAGCGCGAGCGAGAAGACGAGTAGTCATCGCCGGAATAGTAGCCGCGGCCTCGGCTGCGGCCTCGGCGTCTCTCCTCCTTTTCGGCTTTGCTGGCCTGGTGGTACTTGACGGCACCGGCTGCAGCGAGAGCAACTGCCGCAAGGCCGAGACCCTTTTTGAGAGCAGAATGGCGATCAGGGGATTCGTCGCCGTCTCCCCAGCGATCCTCATATGCGCTGTGGGCTCGCCTGATGGCCTCAGTTCCAATAGCCCCCAGAGCAGCACCGGCAAGAACCTTCTTGCCACGATGCTCAGCAACCTCTCCGTACTCATTGGGGCGACTTGCGAGCAGGGCAGTGATGCCAGCGCCAGCAAGGGCACCCTCAGCGAGGTGGCGCTTGTGGTGATCCGAGCTCTGGCTGCGGTTGCGGCGAACGGTGCGGCGAGAGTAGTAATAGTCATCCTCGTCGCTGTGGTAGTCATCGCGGCGGTGTTGACGGCGGTCGCCGACCTCTCTCCGCTCGCGGCGGTAATAATACTCTTCGTCGTAGGGAACACGGGCGACCTCTCGGTCTCCCTCTCTCTCCCTGAGCACAATGATGTTTGGGTCCTGTCTGGGAATGACAATCTGCTGCGGGGGCGCTTCCTGGACAATGATTTTCTGGTCCGGGGCGCGCTGGCGCACAACAACAGGAGAAGACCCGTGCTCCGGCTCTCGATAATAATCGGTTTCCTTGCGATAACGCTCAACCTCGTGGCCGTGGTTGTCCTCAAAGCGCTCCTCAACCCTCTTTTCGATGCGCACATCCTCATCATGATGGCGGGGGCGTCTCTCCCAGTCGCGGTCCGACTCGCGGCGCTCAACATCTCGCTCGTAAAAGACGGTGCGAGTGCGATCGCCCTCAACATCGATGGCGGAGCGCGGCCTGTCAGGAACATAGCGCTCTCTCCGCTCATACTCTACATAGTCGTTGTTACGCTCCGGACCGGAGTAGCGCGAGCGTCGTTCGTCGTCCATCTCAATAAATTTCTCAGTGCGGTCGTATCGTTCTATTCGCGGCTGGTTGACCTTGTATCGGGTAACGGTGGTGGCTTTGAAGCGCTCGTCGTCAGAATCACTTTCGCGGCGTTCTCGATAGACCCGGGTGGTTCTATAGTCGGCCATTGCTCCAGCCCGGCACTACCTATCTCTCTGCCTAACTCTCTCTTTCTCTCGCAGTTCTCTCACAGTGTCTATCTTTCGTTTGTTTGCTGCTTCTGCTGCTGGAGACGTCACTCAGAAGAGCTAAAGGTGTCGGAAGATGAGGCGGGAAGAGAAAAGGCAGCCAGGCAACCAGAGGGACACAGTAAAAACAGTAGAGGATCCCAAGAGGCTGAAGAGCACGAGGAGGGGTAACGATTGTGTGTGGGAATGCAAAGGATATGACGCAGAAGAGTCGCAGAGGCCGAGGACCCCCCTGCTGTAATAGGGCTTTTGGGTGTCGAGACGGCACCAACGGAGGAAGCAGGATAACGTCAGGACAGTACCAATAGCGGGCCTCTTCGCAGTGGGCAGCTGATGACGATGTTTCATTGGGGAGAGCAGAAGCTGCTCGAAGGGTGGGCTGCTGACTTTGAGGCCTTGTGAGCCAGCTAACGGGGAGGCTAGACAGGGCCCTGGTAAGGCTAAGGCGAAGCTGTGATTTCTGCAGACTTCTGTGCCCGGGTCATGTTATTTCGGCTTGTCAGCTCGGGCATCTCGCAGCTGCTCGGTGTTGTTTCTGCTGTCTTGTCTTCTCTCTCGTCTTGTCTCGTCTTTGTATGGCCTCCCTCGTGTCATCCCTTGACAGCATATCGCCTCGTCATCATCAACATCATCATCACCACCAGCATCACCAACATCACAACAAACAGCGTCTCGTCTTCCCCCCCTCCCCCTCCCTCATCCTCGTCCATCCCACAGTGCACCCCAACACGGTACAACTGTTACTGATCGTTTTCCTGTCTCTTGGCCCCCCCTCCCCTCCTCTCTCTCTGCATTCGTGCCCTCACCCCCCCTCTCAACAAACCAAGCAACCCAGCTGTGGTTGGTCACCTGCATGAATCTGGAAGAAACGAGCACCGCCTTGTGACCAGGCAGAAGCGTGGCGCGGGGCCTCAGTAGTCGGTCTGTTGCATCCACGAGGGCGCCAACTTGTCTCAGACAGCGAGAGCTCAGCACCACCCGATCCTGCAGATGCTGTGGCACCGTCTCAGCCTCACTTTTTTCTTCTGGATATTTCTCTCCCAATCTCCTTCTGTCTGTTTGTTTCCCTTGGCTGGCATGCTGTGCTGCGCTTTGCACCCAACGTCATGGATCAGGGACCGACAGGCTGAGAGGCCCAGTGCAGTGTGACGCCCAGGTTTCATTTACCCGATCGGTCGCCCTTGTTGCTCGTTGAGAGTTTGAGCCCGGCCGTCTTGTGTCCTCGCATCGCGCCGTTCCGCGCTAAAACGCCCCCTCCGTTGCTTTCTTCTATTTTCTACTGGAACGGAGGAGTCCGTCCTGGTTCCTGGACTGGACAAGCAGATGGGGTTAGAGAGGGGGGGAAGAGTCAAAGTGCCATTGCCAGGGAAGAAGCTGTTTGGCGAGGAGGGGAAGAAGCTGCTGGGCTGGGCGGGAATGTCGTCATGGCTCCATTTTAGGCCTGTCGCTTCCAAGCAGCCCACTAAATCTGACCCAGTAGGTCAGTTTATGCACAGAATAGCTGCATACCTGGCACCATCATCAAGGCATCACCGAGAGGAAGAAAAAAAAGAAAGAAAAAAGTCACCGCCAAGTGCCGCATTGACTCGTGGAGTCTCTTTTGGTCATTGCCGGTATGCCTCCGAATCAGCCTGCCAACTTGACTGTGCGCTACCGGAGCTTGCGCCCTACCAGTATTACGAGCCGTATTATCTTAGTATTGATGCTTCCATTGGCAGCCGCCTTATATTGCCCTGAAAGGGTGTCATTCAGCCTACCGGAAAGCCGACGGATGAGCCCAATAGCGCTTATGCCAAAGACTGCCGTCCCTTACAGATGAAAGCCGAAAAAGCCTCCTAGAAGCCGGCGCTGGCTCCGAGATGCCATTCTGCAGCTGCTTATTGGTTGATACAAGGTGAAGAATTCTGAATATCCGATTTCTATGTCTGTATGTAAGGTATGCTGCTATGTTACGACTTTGCTATACTCGGTTCACAGCCTCTCTCAAAACTGCCCAAATTATCACATGTTAAATGAAGAAACCAATCGAGATGCCCCAAACAAGAAAGACCATGCACCAGCTACGCCTCGTTTTGACCCAATCTGAGGTTATTGTATCCATTCCATCCATATACACCACAGCCAACGGCATCCATCTACTTACTCATCGTATCCGTGCTTGTTGCCCAAAACGCCGATACCGCCGTTGCTGCGCCGCCTCTTGCCAATGACCTCGCGCACCCAGTCGCTCAGCGTAAACCCCCAGTGGCCAGCCACCATGACGCCGCTGAAGATGTTGACAATCTTGACCAAAAAGCTAAAGAAGCCATGGCGGGTCTCCGCGACGCTCAGCATGATGGGCTCGATGTCGTACTTGAAGAAGATGCCGGGGACTTGGTGGTCCGAGATGACCTTGCTCTGCTCCGTGACGGCGTACTGGTTGGTGTTGACGACCCTGTTGCTGGTGAGGTAGACGGTGGGGACGACGGAGAGGAAGTACTGGAACTTGTGGAAGTGAACAATGGCGGGGTTGACGGTGCGGTCGAGGGGGTTGACCAGCGATGGATAAAAGGGGCCGTAGGACATTTCCGAGATGATGTGAGAGAAGTTGAACTCTAAACGCCGTTAGTCAGAAGACATATTCTCAACAACGACGAGGAGGTAAGATAAAAGAACATACTGTCATGGTCCAAGTGCTGGCCACCATAACCATGGCCTCTGGCCGTAATGTGAAAGTCGCCCTGCACCCTGTTCAAGTCCAGGCTGCCATACATGCGGCAGCTATCCGGCCTGCCCTTTGGCGACGGCGTCTTTGCCCACTTGGCCTTCTTCCGGCTGAGAGCCACAATGTCGTGCACATGCTCCTCGCCAAAGCCCTCATCGTGGGCGCCGTGCCAGCCCTCACCAGTGTCCAGCTTGCCATTCTCACTCTTTCCGAGCCTGTGCATGCCCTGTGCGTCAACCCACTGGTGCCAGGTCGTGGCATCGCGCTTCAGCTTGTCTCCAGCAAGAATGCGATCGCCCGATGCGTCCTGGACGTTGACGTGGAGGTCGTTGCAGTCCATCTTGACGACAATGTCGAGGTTGACCTGCATGTCGTGCCCGATGCCCTTTTCAACGGCAAACGTGTGATGCTCGGCTCCGCGCCACCATTGGCCTATCTCGGTCCACAGGAAGATGCAGGAGATGAAGAGCATGGCAACGGTCCATTTGCCGCCACCTGATGTCTTTGTCACATACTGAGGTTTTGATTTGGCTGCAGCAGAAGAAATTAGCACAGGTGATTCAATGACAGGCAATGCAGAGCTAGTATATAGGTTGGAGGGTCAAGTCGTACGGAATGCATCAAAGGCGCTGACAATGCCACCCTTTGCGCCAAAGTCATCCTCATTCAGGCTCGACTTCTCGAAGCCGTCCATTGTGGATATTCGTGATTCTGTGAGAGATGTCTATTGTTTAAAAGGTCGAAATTGGCATTCAAGTGGCCGAGACAAAGCAAGAAAGCGAGCAAAAGAAAAGATCGAAGCCCACGGGCAGATGGCGAGCTACGGCTTGTTGAAGGCTACCTCATTCCACGGAAGCTGCAGCTTGTCGACCCGCGGCACTCCAACAGCTCAATTCGATCCAATGGAGGCGTGCGCAGTGTCGAAATCACGATTCGGCCTCAACCAAGTCCTGTGCAAGGCGTGGCGGGCAACGGCGCATGTGAAAGCACCGGTTTGATGGCATCAATATCAACGTCTTACTGTAGAAACCACAGCTGGACACGTCTCCAATTCGCTTCCTTGCTGCCAAGGCTGATGGTGATTGGCTGGGGGAGCTGCGACCGGAATATCGGCGGCCCGATGGTCTGGAACGCCAAAACGCTCACCGGCATGCTGGGCGGTGGCTGATTTTCAGCTCAGCAATGGGCGCTATGGATTGCAGAAATGCTGCCAAATATGGGGTGCAGGTGTGTCCCATTTGGATCTACAGAGTGATTTTGAGGGATTGAATCATTTGCGGTGTATTGTGGCCATTGTCGCGTTGGTTTGACTCGTAATCAGTCAATCAGTTTGCTCCATACTCCATACAGTACTCATACTTGATCGTCTGTCCTATTCCGTGGTCTCCAGAGGTACCAGACGAGGTTAAGTATGGTAGGTACATGAAGCTACGCATTGCTCTGCACTCTGGAACAAGTACACACCATTTGCTTGTTCCGCGTACTGTAGCGTTCACACAATACTGACTGTCTGGTAGCACAGTTCGTAGTTGAGCACAGACGCTCAAAAGGCAGTGGATGCTCTAGCTCCAGCCTAAAAAGCCCAGAGGCGCAGGAACCCTTGGAGGATGGCGGGCCAGGGTGGAATCAGGGCAGCAAATCATGGAGCGCTAACGCTGGCGAGATCTCGTGGCAGCGGGCTTGAGGCGGGCCAAGAAAGGGCCAAGAGATCACTCGACGATGTGGTTTGGCATATCGTGACTGACGGACGTTGTTGGGCTGATCAAGGCATGTACTGCAGAGAGAAGTGATACCTGCTGACACTCTGTTTTGTTGTAGTGGTGAGAGTGATGAGATCCATGTAAAAGCCTGCTGCTGCTTACATCCTACTTGTATGTACAAAGTACATACCGACACTCCAAACGGGCCGTCTCCAAAAATAGCAAAAGGCCCAGCTTCAGCCAATACGTGCGCCGCCGAATGAACCTTCAAGCCAACCTTGTCCAGTAGCATTGCGTATTTGACTCTGCCGTCACTCTCATTTTTGTATGGGCCAGAGCAGAGCAACTCCATTATTATCCCACCCATTCCGGACTTCGTATTTATTTCTTCTCCCTCCAAATCGCCGCCGCAGCTGCCAGATATGGAAATACAACGAGGCAGAGAATGGCCCAACTCGGCGCTTGTTGGGTCCCATGCATATTGCTTGCGCATATCGCCCGTCCCATGCCCTGCCATGCCATGCTTCTCCGCATCAAAGCCCGCCCGTATTCCGTAAAAGACACGCAGACAGACAGACAGACGATACGAGGCCTAGCAAAATAACAATCTCACCGGGCAGAAGTCTGTTTTTGTATGGGTATCTAACAAAGACAGCACAGCCCAGATGGCACTCGTAGAATACAGGATTCTCGCTCATTTTACCCGGCCAACCGGCATGCCCTCCCAGGTATCTTTGCACGTGTCATGAGCGGCAGTGGTACCGGCCGGCGTAACATCAAACATGCCAATCCCTCTGCCCTCCAGCAAGTAGCGCCAGCCCATCACCAATTTTTGCGCCACCGCTCCAGTTTATTCCCCAGTTCTCACACCTCACATCTTCAATCGTCCCAAGTCCAAGTGACAACCAAACACACACACGCACTGCGGCCCCCCTTGTCTGTCTTGTCTTGACATCTTGAGCCTGTTTCCCGGTGTGCCGGTTCACTCTCGCTCTCACTCTCACTCTTTTCTTCTTTCATCATCATCTTCATTCTTCACCATCGTCTGTTTCTTCGGCTTCTGCTGCTCTCGCTCGCGAACCTGCAGCCGAGGAACCGCCCTCCATCCATCCACTTTCGCTTCCTCCCTCGCTCGCTCGCTATTTTTTTTTTTCCCTCGTTACCCGACTAGATGCACTCGTAAGCAAATCCGCATCTCACCCTCACGCAAATCGAACCGGAACCGAATCGCATCGCATTGCATTGCATCGCACGACAGCCTTTTTACTCGACTTCGCGCTCGCTACTGCGCCATCCTTCGTTGGATTCTTATGCTTGGGTTGACGCACCGACCAACTGTTGTTTTTAACTCGTAAAACCTGGCGTCGGTATCATGAGATCATTCTTTCGGCCGGGCGCCATAGCCGCCCTTCTCTCTGTGGCAGATATGGCCGTCGCACAGCAGAGCCCATTCTCTATTTCCTCGACCAGTGAGCATGCGCCCTCCCTTTGTCTTGACGATGCTGGTAACTAATGTCTTTTCTTCTCTTCTCCTCGCTAGGCGACATTAAGAAAACAGCAAGCACTGTCGCGTGGGATATGCTGCAGTACTACCACGGAAACGAATCTGGCCAGACCCCAGGTATTCTCCCCGGACCACCTCCTGCTGGTGATTACTACTGGTGGGAAGGCGGTGCCATGTGGGGGACACTGATCGATTACTGGTATTTGACCAACGACACCACTTACAACGACCTCGTCATGCAGGCCATTCAGTGGCAGACGGGCCCCAACGACGACTTCCAGCCCCCCAACGTTACTCTCTCGCTGGGTAACGACGACCAAGGTTTCTGGGGCATGACGGCTATGCTGGCCGCCGAGGAAAAGTTCCCAGACCCTCCCGCTGATAGGCCCGGTTGGCTGGCCCTGGCCCAGGGAGTCTTCAACACCCAGGCCAGTCCCGATCGCCACGATGGCACCTGCGGCGGTGGTATCCGTTGGCAGATCCCGCCGACCAATCCCGGATACAGCTACAAGAACAGTAAGCGCGGCATCATGTCGAGTCTGCCGGGACATGTATCGTGATAGCGGCTAACACATTCCTTAGGTATTGCCAATGGTTGTTTCTTCAATTTGGGAGCGCGCCTGGCCCGCTACACCGGCAACAAGACGTATTCCGACTGGGCTGACAACACGTGGGACTGGATGACCAAGATAGGATTCTTGGACAACGATACTTATGCCATCTACGACGGCGCAGACGTGTCAAACAACTGCACTGAAATCAACAAGGCCGAATTTTCGTACAACAGCGCAGTATGGGTTCTTGGCACAGCATACATGTACAACCACGTAGGTCTAGACCCTACATGATCAAAATAGCAATGTCGCTCCGAACGTTCAACAGCTAACCCCCCAGCAGACCGAAAGCGATGTATGGAAGACGAGACTGGAGAAGCTGGTCGACCACGGCCTCGAGACCTTTTTCCCCAAGGGCATCGCATACGAGCCGTCTTGCGAGAGCGTCAACACTTGCAGTACCGACATGGTGTCCTTCAAGGGCTACATCCACCGATGGTATGCCACCACGACACAGCTGGCCCCCTTCTTGGCTCCCAAAATTCTGCCTGTGCTCAAGACATCGGCGCAGGCGGCCATCAAGCAATGTACCGGCGGTGCCCTGGGGCGCCAGTGCGGACTTAAATGGAACACGGGTCAATACGATGGTCGAACCGGAGCAGGCCAAGAAATGAACGTTGTGGGCGCCGTGTCATCGCTCCTCATCGGTACGGCGCACGTCCCCGTCACCAACGACACGGGTGGTACGTCCAAGGGAAATCCCAACGCCGGCAGCAACCCGAACAGTTTCCTGAGGCCGGTGACGCCCGTGACGGCGGGCGACAAGGCCGGAGCGGGCATCGTCACAGTCATCATCATCGGGTCTCTATGTACAGGACTCGCCTGGATGAGTCTCGGCCCTTGAAGTGGCTTGTACGTTGTCCGCATGGGCATTTCGTTTCTTTTCAACAAAACAAAATTTGGAAAACTTCTGACGGGTCTGTCATGGCCAATGCCTGGCTGGACTCATTGTATGGTGTTTGGGTTGGCTATTCAGGGGGGCGGACTGGTAGCACTTTTACGACTTTTGCTATTCGGCGTTGGGATGTACGTTTACTGGGATCATCTAGCATTTCTCTTTTTTTATGCGTTTTTCCTTTTTTCTTCTTCTACTACCACTCCTCTTTGTGATGGAGGAGGGGCAACACTGTTATTGCTATCTGCTAGATGGCAGGATAAATACCGACTCTTTGAGAGCTGATGAATGGTCTGGATGACGGATGATGAGTATCGGATGATGTTGGATGAGTCGAAGAATAGGGTTCGAGGATATGAATATGACCGTCTAGGATAGTGACGAATATAGTAACCTCACGATGGAATGGCATTTTTTCCTTGATTGGAGTTTTGAGCCCTGCGCGCGAATGATAGACTCGTGGTACGGTAACATTGATTTACGCTAGGGTAACGATGCATCCGACAATTAACATTGGGATTGGCATCCGCATCGGCCGGCAAGACGATGATGATGACGATCCATCGAAGCTGTTTGGCGCTGGATCCCCCTGGTCTGTCTGTCAAAGTCAGTCAGTCATCAGTTCGGAAGAGGGGCGGCGATCGTCGGCAGCTCCATTGGGTGCAAGTCACCGATACGTCATTAACGCGTTGCACCGGTGGGAATTGGAATTTCGGGATTGTCGATTTGCATCTCCCAGCTTAAACAATGCAAACAAGCTAGGTGATTAGAAGAGTCATATTCGGATTAGTAAAAAAGACAATGAAGTAAGAATACCGGCATGGCGACTCCGATCGGATTTTCCTCAGGCGAGGTGTCATGTCATGCCAGGGTCAGGCCAGATGAGTGTGAGTGTGAGTGCGGAAACGGAAAGGGAAGGAAAAGGTACAGGTAAGCTCGCAGAAGGCGGCAGAAGCAGCAGATGGAAATTGAAAAGTTGGAAAATCAAATCGGGATTAACAATTTGCGATGCGCATGGCGAGCCGGCGGGCCGAAAAGAAGCGAAGTGTTTGGAATTGATGGAAAGGGAAAAAGTTGTTGGCTGGAAAGCTGGGAAAATCGCCCCTGAGAGGTAGCTTGCCATTGTGCTCATGTGGCCACGGGAATGACGCAAAAGGCGCCGAGAGCGAAAAAAAAACCCAATTGCACCTCGTGATGATGCCACCGTCTTTTGTCGAGCCATTACGCTTACCTAATTCTGCGCAAGGAAACAAACATTATGCTGTAGGGAGAGGGAATTGGATCATTGACTTGGTAGATGGCCTAATGAATGTCGTCAATTGCAGGCCTCGTGGTTTGGCGGTTGGATGAGGGGGAATTGAATTGAGTGGGATGGAGTTGGAGTCATTCATTTGACAATTGGTTATTACGAGCGGTTAGGTAAGAATGTAACAGTAACAGAAAAACGTGCACGCAATTTACTACAACAGGTGCGTATTCTCAAATACGAAGTACACACGTACAGCACAGCACTGCACAGCTTACTCGCGGCAATTGGGGGTTCAGGTGTGTTGGCTGCAACGGTACAAGTCCAAGCTCAGCTCCCAAGAAAAAAAGGAAAAAAATCGCTGCAGAAAAAAAGAAACGAAACCGCTTCGGGCATTCTCATTACCTACAGAAAACTCGCTGAAGGGCCCGCGTGACGCACGCCATCGGGTCACCAGGAGGCTCCGGCCGCAGCGCTACAGCACAGGGGGATTTTTAGTGGCCTGGAACGTTTCAATGGCCGCTGTAAGGCGCTGTGGGCTGGGAAGCGAAAAACCAGCGCAACTCGCTGAGCTCCGGTCGGATCTGGCCACCTCATCCAAGTCATAACTACAACACATGTACTCGTTCTGCCCATGTTAAATGTGTGGTGAGGACGGGTATATCTCGCGTATAGATCACTTGGTTAAGTGCGCATATTGGCGGGAGGGGCGCAGTCCCGCTTCAGTCCCAAAATTGCCCACCTGAGGAGCACCAGCGGACGTGAGTGGCCGAGAAAAGCTTGGAAATTAGGTACAAGTATAGTGGCAAGGCCATGGAAGGGCTTGTTCTTCATGGATCGATGGGTCTTGGTCCCATCAAACCAGCCCGGCTTGAGCATAGCGTTTTGCGGGGGAAAAAAAAAAAGAAAAGAAAAAAACGAAGAAAAAAAACTAGCAGCAGCACGGGATTGGGTGGCATGTTCCAGAAAATGGATCAGCAGGCGGAACCAGCGGTGCGGAGCCAGGGGCAACAAAAACAGCACAGACAAGGCAAGGGGGGAAGCCAGAGAAGGCCGGAGAAAGGATTGAGGCTCGCTGAAAAATTAATTTTGCGGTTGGTCATTAGTGCCGGATGCGTTTTTGGTCTGGTGACTTGCTGGCGTTTTGAGGGGACCTGGTTGTGTGACCTTGATGGTGGAATCGATTTGGTAATTTGGGGGAGACGAAGGGGGGGGCAGTTTGGTATAAGAGGTTGGGAGGGCCTCTTCACTGTTGACTGCTTGAGACACGAAGAGATTTACCATCTTGTTTACTCTGTTACTGAACTGATTGTTCTTTGAATTGAACCTTGACGATATCAATTACAACCCATTGAGCTACCACACCATCAAGCTACAACACTTACATACAACACACACACAATCATCACACAAATCAACACAAACAAAAACAACCAAACCGACACAATGCCCGTCAACTACGTCTTCACAGAGTCCGCCCCCTCCCAGAACAACTACATCAGATCCGGCCGCGGCGGCGCCGGCAACATTGTCCGCTCCTCAGCCCTCCCTCCCACATCATCATCCTCCGCCTCCTCCTCAGCATCCCGCCAGCTCCCCAACCAGCGATTCTTCTCTGGCATCGGCGGCGCGGGCAACGTCCACCAGGCCGACCAGCTCCAGCCCGCTCTGCTGCGCTCCCTCGAGACCCCCGGCAACCAGAACCCATCGCGGGGCCACGTCGGCCGCGGCGGTGCGGGCAACGTCTACAACCGCAAGCCTAGCGATGCCAGCAGCGTGTCGAGCGCGGGTAGCAGTGCGAGCTCTGTTGGCGAGAAGGCGAAGATGTGGGCGTCTCGTGTGAGCGGCTCATTCTCGCGGAAGTAGATGAGATGTCTACCTATCCATCTATCTACATACCTACTATTGGCTGAGGATATAACTGGACTCAAAAAACCAAAAACATACATAAGCAAAAACTGGCGTTGAGGACATGGCACGGCACTGGAAGCCTTTGGGAGAGCGATTTTGATATATACACAACACAAAAAAACACACACAAATTGGTGTGGTGGATTTACGATTACGAATATACCCGCCTGGTTTATAGGCTATCTGGGAATTGAATTGAATTGGAGTCTTTTGGAGCAGAATCAAGCAGCACGGAATGGATGCCGCTTTGAGAAGCTAAGCGGAAAAGTTACTTGAGAGATACATTAGTTGATAATGCTAAATCAATGCGAACACATTCTACTCGCTGAACAATCTATACTATACTTCCCTCTATTGTGACCATGATTGAGACGATTTGCTACCATTACTTTCTTGTTCTAATGATTGCCACTATAGGCGTGTGCGCTCGTCTGAAGCATCACAAGCTACCCCTCAAAGTGAGTCAAACATTACATGTACTACTTACCCTACACCAGATAATCGTGACTCAGTAGAATTCTACTATTCACCAAGGCTGAATAGCTCCTCGATCTCGACACTCAGCACCTCGAGGTGCTAGTTGGCTCCCTCAACATCCCGCGTTCCAAATTTAATACGATAATTGGCAAAGGGAGAGGCAGTAGCAGCTACTACATACCAACGTAGGCAGGTATGTGAAGACTCGCGTAGGTAGCAGCAGTTACTGGCGGAAGACGAGGGCGTCAGGAAAACGAAAGAAAAAACAAAGGTTGAGTAAAATACAGAAAACTGGTTGAAGCATAAACAAGCAAGCTTATTCACCAACATCCCCTCCTGTAGGGTACTGTGAAATACAAAGACAGTTTACAGCTCATCCACTTGCCAATCGTAGAACCGAGAATTTTCTTGCAATTCATAAACTAGATAGACCAAGAGTGAGAATTGCTTTCTTCTAGTCATCGTGCTTCCATAAGCCTCCTCATCAAAAGCACCGAGTCAATAATCATCCCGCGTACCTTGTCGATCCTTGTCCACCTCAAGATCCTCAAACACATTACGCCCTTGCGGAGCATATCCTTCTCCTATTTATATCAACAAGACGCCGGGGGGTAAGAGTCTACTCGAGCAGTATAAGGCCACCTTTAATTTGATATCCAGTATTCTGTTCTGGATTTGCTGGTCAGTCATACCCATACTGCGTGCCTCTTCCCTGATGATAGCGGCGTAAGCTTCATTTTTCAGCTCAGCTATCTTCTTCTCGGCCTTAAGAATCTCCTCATTGACCTCCTTCTCCAACTTGAGAGCCTTCTCCAACTTGAGAGCCTTCTCCAAGGACTCATACTTGGATTCGAAAGCCTCTCTCTCGAATTTGGAAATCTTAGCGTTGGTCATGACTCTCTTGGCCATGTCTTTGACTTCTTCGAATCTGTCTCTTAATGTTTTCTCGTTGGTCATGGAAACCTTATTTTCTGCATTGGAGTCCTTGTGCTGCTGCTCGTGTGCGTCTGCCATCTTGGCGAAACCCTCTTCTTGCTCGGTAAGACGCGTTGGTGAATGTCCTGGTAGGTGTTAGAAAAGTAATCTAAACTATAACTTATATAATTAGGCCAAAGGGTATAGCTAGCCAGTATATCTCTTGACAGCAATTTCTTTTCTATATTACCTTTGGAGTCTTTTGTGCGATATTAAATTCTGTGCTGGTTATGTGTGGGTCCAATTTGGAAAGGCGGGAGGAATGAGCTGTTTAAATACTTGAGCAAAGGATAAAATTACAAAGAAAAAGAAGAACAAAGAAAGACGAGAAGAAACAAAGGAGCGCAAAGAAAGACAAGAAATAACCAATCACCGAGTTTCTCTACGCCTGAAAGACTAAGCACGTGCTATACCTGAAACCAGAGATGGACAAAGGGTTTGGACACGACATATTTAGATATAGAACGCCGAGAGATTCGTCATTCAATACTGGCTATATGTAAATACCGAGATACAAGTCAGAAAAGGGTGAAGAAGAAATATTACCTATAATTGTTTGTTTGACAACTTACATCATCGCAGTCCTCACATGTAAAGCTGGGAACAATAGTGGTGTTGGAGCTTTAGTTGAGGCGGATGCAGCGATTGAGGTAAAGGATAAGTTTGAGCGTGTGCCAATTCATCTAGCAGCCTCTCTCCATTTGAACACTGCATTGAACATGTTCTGAACAGATTTAAGCATACAGACGTCAATGTAGCAGATCGTGATAACTGGGCCCCTTCCCTGTGGGCAGCGGGTCGGGCAACTACCGCAATATTGTTGCATTGAGCGCACAAAACGCTGAAGTATGGGTTCGAAGTCGCGCTTCTGGTACAAGCAATGAGTGATCGGCCCTAAAGCTGCTGAACGTCGCAAATCCGGATACAGAATCAAGAAACTGCCCTGTACCAGACAGCCGCACAAGGCGGCGGACAAGAGGAATGGGATGATGCCTTCCATAGGATTCAGCCTGGAGATAGGAAAAGCGCTACGTGCAATAGCTGTCTTGTGGTTAGTATAATCTCTGTACCTATGGCTATGCATTGATCAGATGCTAGCAATATCTGTGAAATACAGCCCATCACAGGTATACAGGGGAAACACGAGGAGGATTTTTCGCTTTCCTTCAAGTGCTACGGCTATCGATCCCTGATTCATAACCCAGAACATAGTTTTGATGATATTGAACCGATGTATGCATAGCACAATGCTGTATCCTATTGAATGCATCTATGTAGAAGCAGACTATCTAGTAATTAGTAGGGCAACGAGCTTTAACGTCCCATTTCTTTGTAAGTGAGAGACTACCTGTAAGCAGATGCTGTATGAGCGTCTTCAACATGTAGTAAGTGAACTAGGGAGGGCCGATTACATGTCACCGACTTGTCAATTGTATAAGCGAGAATTTTCTTGCAGTAACTAGACTAAATAGACTAAATTGACCCAGAGTGGGATAACATTTGTGTAAGCAGTCATCGTGCTTCCATGAGTCGACAGACTAAAACTCTTGTACAAGCTCAAGTTTACCGTGCTCTACACCAGGGTATACAAATACCTCATTAACTCATCGGTATTATAATCCCGAAATTCTTTATGTTGATGTAGCTTCATTATTCCTCTGGCAACGGTCGAACGATCGCTCGGTTGAGGTGTATCATCCCTCAAGAGGGTGAACTCGTCCAAAACCAGCTTCTTTGCCCTGGCGAGAACTCCCATCTCGGCTTTTCGGAGCTTATCAGCTTCCTGGTACCAAAACATGTCGAACTTCTCGAGGACAGCCGGGTACGAGATTTGGTGCGTGACGCCTAGGTCGTTGTTTGGCTCTCTCGTGGCTGGCACCTCCTTGACCTGGATTTCCTCGTTACTCATACCCACGCGAGCTTTCTTACGCCCGGCCGCTTCTGAAGCTTCCCCATAGGTCATGAAATCTCGTTTCTTGCCTATTGCAGCCGTGGGTGCCATGATCTTCACATCCTTCTCACTGGCCTCGATGGCCTTCTCTCTGACCGCGGTGGCCTTCTCCTTGGTCTCCTTCTCCTCGGTCTCCTCCTCCTCGGCTTTCTCGTTCTCAATCCTCTCGTTCTCGATCTTCCTCTTTTCTTGAAGTTCGAGGCGGAGGTAGCTAGCTCGACTATGGCGCCTTATCGCCATAATATATTCGGCCGCATATATATGGACCTGGATTTCCTGCTCATTCTTACCCTCACGGTGGGTCTCTTCCCGAATAATATCGAGGAAAGCTTTCTTCCTAGAGTTGTACTCCTCCTCGTCTTCGTCCAAAAATGTGTCGACCTTTTTTTCAAGCTCTCTCTTATTGAGCCTGATAGTCCCAGAATATGCAGGGGAGCTCTCGGGCTGCTCGTGTGCGTCTGCCATTTTCACAGAATCCTCTTGGCTCCCTGAACGGCGCCGATTTGTGTCTTAGTGAATATCAGAGAAGCAATCTAAGCTGTGGGCGAAGAGTCGTATCTGGCATATATCCGTTAGTGCAGGTTCTTTCTGTGTGACTTTTGAATCTTACTTGTGATGTCGAAACCTCTGGTGATTATCTGTAGATTCATCTCGGAAAGGGGCAAATGAACGGTTTATATAGGCAAAGAATAAAAGCATGGAGAGAGATAGAAGCAGAGAAAAATGAGAGGAAACAAGGAAGAAACAAAGGAAGAAACAAAGGAATAAAGCAGGAACAAAGAAAGATGAGAAGACGTAAGCAATCTCTGATTCTGCCTACCGCTGAAAGACTATACAAATGCCGAAAAAGGAAATGTATTCAACAGGCTGCAATAATAGACAAACAAAACTCTCTGCCCAAGAACCAATCAATCCTGTGTCATCATAACCAATGTCGGACAAGACGAACCAAAACCAATAACCGCTTGAAAGAATCCAACAAAGGAACCCTTCCCCTTGACCCTATTCGCTGACTGCAAACCATCAAACAGGTTTCCGTCGACAAAGCGCTACCACGGCGTCTCGGCGGGGAGGCAAGATATCCATTGACACCGAATCAAATGCCTCCGCGAGCATTCTCTCCATGACGACGACAGTCTCGTCTCTTCTCTTTTGAACCCATCATTCATCACGTGGTGACCTTCTCTAAGACCACATGTACATTTTGAGGCGCTCTGCAAGATCTAAGATCCTGTCCACCAAGTTCTCAAAGTCTCAGATACCTTCGTGATAGTGCTCCTATGCCACTTCTATATTCTATGATGACCCGCCTCGCCCGTGTCTCGTTGCTCATGGCCGTCGTTCTCGTCGGGATCCTCATGTCCGCCATTTATGTTCAGTTGCTCCATGGGTTGGCCTGACGCATCTTTATCATCCTCGTCCGAGTGCTCATCTTGGCTAGCTTCCTCGCCCTCGTGGGAATGCCCGTTTACGCCATTTATGCCATTGATACCGTTTTGTCTCGGACGTTGATTTCCATTTATGCCATTGATACCGTTGAGTCTCGGGCGCTGATTTCCATTTATGCCATTGATACCGTTTTGTCTTGGACGCTGATTTGGCTCAGGGGGAACAGGGAACTCGCGCCACATGCGTTCCTGTAAGCGTTGCTCTATCCAAGATGGGTCATCGATTCCCATAGCATCGGGCTCATGATGGCGTTGCCTCGAGCTTCCCAGCGCCTGAGCTGGCAAAGCTGCGTAACGGGCTCGTAAACGGGCTCGTCGATCTTGTTCTTGTCTCATTGCACGAGATATCGCCCCTCTGTCCGTAGAAGACAGTCTGTTACCGGGTTCCCGGCCTGAATGTGGGCGTGGATGATGGACTTCTAGACCATTAGGCGGCTCATGGTGACGTGAATTTGGGCGATATTCTTCTGGACTATCAGGTGGCTCACGGTGACGTTGCTCCGAGGCCCCCAGCCTCTCAGCACGGAAACGAGATCGTGATAGAGGGCCTCCTCGTCTTCGTCTTGCTTCTTCTTCTTGTCGTCTTAGTTGTTCTTCTATTTGTCGTCTTTGGTCTTCTTGAATTTGTTCTATTCGTCGTCTGAATTCTTGATCTTGAATTTCTTCTGCTCGTCGTCTGAATTCTTCTTCTCTTTCTGCTCGTAGTCTTTCTGCTCCTCGTCCTTCTGCTCCTCGTCTTTCTACTCCTCGTCTTTCTGCTCCTCGTCCTCGTCTTGCTTCTTCTATTTGCCGTCTTACTATTTGTCGTCCTAGTTCTTCTCTTATTTGTCGTCTTTGGTCTTCTTGTTCTTCTTCTGCTCGTCGTCTTTCTGCTTCTCGTCTGAATTCTTCTTCTCTTTCTGTTCGTCGTCTTTCTGCTCGTTGTCTGAGTTCTACTTCTCTCGCTTCTTCAAATCGTCGTCTTATTTCTTCTTCTCTTATTGCACGAGATATCCCCCCCGCCTCCAAAGCAGACAGTGCGTTAGCGTATCTCCGAGCGCGTGATCTCCGAGCGCGTGAATCTGGGTCATCTCCTCCTGGACCATTAGGCGGCGCCGACGTGTTCCCGTTTGTATGGGAATGCGATTCGTCGGTAGCGTGAGGGGCCATGTCTGAAGGTGTCAGTCACTCACAGACTGTTTCTAAATCATTATTAGTTTGTGGCTCACCTGCGATGAAACGTTCTAAAATCTTTTGGATAGTTCAACTATAATCCTAAGAAGAAAGATAACGATGAAGGCGGGGCAAAGAATGTATGTACAAGAGAGGAGAGGAAGAAGAGAGAAATAGAAAGCAAAACACGTCGCCATAACTTAACAATGGAAGGTTTACATGCGTGTAGAGAGAAGATGATGCAGCAGCTATTCAACTGAGTGGCAGCTGCTCTGATCAACAGAGTTTCGAGTTGAGTGAAAGTGCATCCAGCATCTCATGAACCATCCACACGCAACTTGGCTCACCAACAGCCTCATCTTTTATCTGCATCGTCGAGTAGCTGAGAATATATTAGACCAAAAAGAAGAAGATGGAAAGCAAGACTCCAAAAAAAGATAGTGATCTCGCCCGGGCTCGAACCGGGGACCTTTTCGGTGGTGTCAACTAAACTGTTAACGAAATGTCATGACCAACTAGACCACGAAACCATTCTATCAAAGGACTTGATGCTGTTCCGCCCACGCACAAGTCACATACAAACCTTTCCCCAAAACACAAAAAGGCGAAACGAAAAGAAGAGGAAGAAAAAGAAAAAGAAAACCGTCATTCAACTCAGCATAACCTCATAAATTATCAACACATGTTACAGAGTGCAAAAAAGTGCCCCCTCCAGCTACTACATAAACCATCATCACTCAACCCGCCCCAATCCAACCATCAACTGCAAATCGGGGTATCATTAGGCTCCCTTCATCTAGGTAATCAGACAAAGTCCTACAACTCCCTCGGTCTAATGCCCGCTCGCTCCCTGTAAAAGAATCCCTCCCGTTCTCTGTATCATAAACCAAGTTCTTTGTTTTCGTGAGAAAGAAGAGGAAAAAAAGAAAATTAGTTGTACACCCACCAGCTGACTTCTAACCTCTGGGAAATATCGTCATTTTCTCTCTCTCTTCTTTACCCCCCCCTTTTTTATTCTTTGGTCTCCTTTGGTACTGGAGCAAATTTTGCCAGACCTGCCGTGTCAGCTACGGCCCATCTTTGAGAAATGTTTAATATTACTGCGCGCTCTCTTGAACCAAAGCAGCCAGACATGAAAAAGACGACTTTCGCTCTCCTTTATGCCGATACGCCCGCTTCCATTTCGTGAATCATGTGAATTTTGTGTGGATAATATCTGGGTTTTCGTGCCAATCATCAATGCTCACCAGCATCTATCTCACTTATTAGTAACGCACATCAACTTGCTCAGTCAGATCCACGGGCCGCTTACCTTGCGGAAGGTGCTCAAGCCAGCGAGAATGCTTCCTCCGATCCATGTAGAGTATTTACGCTCCGGGGGCGCAAAGATCTTTATCCTCATGTCCTTGACTGCGAGCTTTTGTAGCTCCGTCAAGAGTCGGTCTCCAAAGCCCTTTGTCAGCGTGCTGCCTCCGGATAGGACAATGTTGCTGTAGAGCGATTTTCGTAGATCCAGATCAGTGCGGCTGATGGCATCAACCACAATCTGGTGCACACCAGGATACTCCTGGCCGATGATTTCGGGATCAAACAGAATCTCAGGAGCTCTAAATCGCTCAGCGCCAATCTATTGAAAAGGGTCAGTATACAGTAAAGGGGTAGGGAAAAAAGAGCCACCAAAGTCACCTTTAGCTTGTGGCCGTCTGGCAAGACGTATTCGGCAAATTTGCTCTCATTGGGCTTCACCCCGATCCAGTCCCTCTCCTCCTTCTTAGGGTCGTGCGCCACATATGACACACTCTCCTTGATCAGTCGAACAACCTCCTTCTCGGCACTCGTGTGGAAGATGTAGCCGCTCTTGCGCAGCAGCGTCTGTAGATACTCGGTCACGTCTCGGCCCGCAACGTCAATCCGCTGTATGCTGCTGGGCATGGCAAAGCCCTCGTAGACAGGCACCGCATGCGACACGCCGTCGCCAGAGTCGAGGACGATGCCTGTCGTCCGGCCACTGGCATATAGCGACAGCACGGCCTGGATCGACGTGTGCAGCGCGGGGACGTTGAACGTCTCAAACAGGATCTGGGCGGCCGTGTCGCGGTTGCTCCGGGGGTTAAGAGGAGGCTCTGTCAGCAAAACTGGGTGCTGCGGTGGATGTCAGCGGCCTCTCTTCTCTTCCGTCACTGTTGTGGTTGTTTTGTTTGTGGACAAACCTCCTCGCTCAGCGTCTTGAGCCCCTCGCCATACACATACTCCCAAATTCGCTCCATGTCGTCCCAATCAGTCACGACGCCGTGCTCCAGCGGGTAGTGGATCTTGAGCAGCCCCCTTAGCTCGTTGGACGCCTTGTTCCCTATAAACAAATCACCCTCCAGCGCGCCGGCCAGGACTCGCAGGTGCTTCGGCCGGCCGACCCACGAGGGGAAGAAGCATTTGGGCAGATCCTCCCCCGCGAAACCAGCGCGGATGGTGCCCGAGCCGTTGTCCAGCACAATTGGGGCATTGTGCAGTATTTCCGTCATCTTCGCGTTCTGAGCCCAAAGAAGCACTTTGCGGCTACGTCGTTGCCGTCCTCCTCGGCGTTGGCTCCCCCTTTAATTTCGTCCTTGGTGGCCGCCACTTGGTGTTGCTGTACTGGACAGAGTTGCTTTGCTTTGCCCGGCCCTTCGATCACAGCGTCCGCAGCATTGGCGACGTCTGGAAGCCTTGGGTAGCCTTGTCGGATATCACGATTCCCGTCGGGTTGGAGGCCTTGCAGGTTCACCAGCTCCAAAGTTGTGGTCGAGGGTGATTGGCCATGTCTCGTCCCCAGTAATGCACATCACTGGAATATGGAGCTCAGCTACCAGCCACACCCGCCCGCCAGTTGCCCGCCCAAGCGCAAGCCACACCCGCATCACGTGGGGCTGCCCGCCGCTTTTTTGCTTGTGGCTGTGGCGCCTCAGGCAGGAAAGGGCCTGTTAAAGTGGTTTCGCGTCTGCCGCGTCTCCTCAACCACCGACCGCGTCGCAGACGTGACAATTTGACAATTTGCTTCCAGCTTCCTCAATCTGCCGTATGGCGAGGCATCAAGCGCTGTGCATGACCCCGACAAGCGACTCTTTCGTGCCATAGCAGCTTCACCAGCGATCGCACCTTCGCCCTGCCGGAATTGACCCTGCGTGCGACCCTCTGTTGATATTTGTGTCGGATTCGCCATCGCCGAGATGGTCAAGGCCAGTGCAGGTACCGGCATTTTCAGTGCCACGTACAGTGGAGTAAGCGATCCCCAGTGAATCTTGGATGCGGCAGACATGTGCGGGAAGCTTGGTTGTTGAATACGGGGCTTCAATTGGGGAGCATGGAGGCGTGGGAATCACAGATATCCAGCCATCAGATATCAAGCTCCCCATCATCAATCGCAAAGGGGGGAGGGGAAAGCTATGATGGCCATCCCGGGAGCTTCTCCCTCCCTGCTTTTCTTTGCTTTTTTT